CTCATGAATGCTGCTGCCAGAAATTATTCACCTCACCAACCGCTCAGTGTCTGCTACCCCTCTCTGCCATTCCCTCCACTGGCTTCCACTCACCCAAAAAATAAAATTCAAAATTCATCCACAACCAGGGGCGGACTGACCATTTGGAAACTCGGGGGACTGCCCGGAGGACAGGGGACAGTAGGGGGCACCATGAGATGCCCTTGGTACCTTTTTCATAGGCTTTTTTGAGTTTGGGCAATTTCACAGGGGCCCCATGATGCCCTTTTTGCCCGGGGGCCCCATCAGTCCGTCCTGTCCACAACTTCACTAACCTAGTCTCAAATACCAACTAATCGTTCTCTTTATTCCTCCCATGACCTTCTGATCTCTAGCTCCCTTGTGACCTCCTCCCATGCTCACCTACTCCTGAACTTCCCCCATCCTCTGGAACACCTATCCCAATTGTCTACCTCCTACTTTGTTCACTTTTAGATGATCCCTGAAAATGCTTTCTTCAGAGGCCTATCCTGTCCTCACCTAACAACTGTATTTTTATTTTCCCACAGCCCATCCCCAGAGTTATTACTTTTTTGTATCTCTTGACCCTACCTCTTGTTGTAAGCTCTAGTGAGAGGGCCTCTGATTCCCTTATGTATTAATTGTATTGTAATTGGTACTGTCTGCCCTTATGTTGCAAAGTGCTGCGTAAACTGTTGGTGCTATATAAATCCTGTTAATAGTAATAATAATAAGCAGCAAAGCACCTTCAGAATTTCCATGCCAGCTGAACAAAAGATTGATGTAGTACCTGAATTTGACTGAAAAATGGTGTGCACACTGTCCACCACCATCTACCCAACTGTTCATGTGGCAGGGGATCCTATTATCCACCCCTTTGCACCTCCCCTATTCACCCCCCTGTCCGCTCCGGGGAATTACATCATTTCCCAAAACACTGGGCAGCATCTTTCCAAATGAAGCATAAAACTCCAAACTGGAGCACACTCATGACATCACAACCCCAAACTTCCAGATTTTCCCACAACCAAGTTCCTGGCAGAAGCATTATGAACAACATGTGCTCCAGATGTAGTGCACCTGGAACTAGTGCCACAAGATCATACCTGTGCCAGACATGCCCCCCCCAAAACTGGTTGTTCTGGCTGCATGGAAGGAGTCCACTAGGAGTTCAGCCAAGACACTACCACCTCCCTGTAAGAGGGACAAGAAGTACATATTGAAGAATTCAAAAATTACATAAAATAACAATATGCAATCACTATACATCCAAAGATACATATCTAAATATACACATATTACCAAAAGTATTAGGGCGCCTGCCTTTACATGGACATGAACTTTAATGGCACCCCAGTCTTAGCTGTAGGGTTCAATATTGATTTGGACCACGTTTTTGCAGCTATAACAGCTTCAACTCTTCTGGGAAGGCTATTCACAAAGTTTAGGAGTGTGTTTATGGGAATGTTTGACCATTATTCCAGAAGCGGATTTGTGAAGTCAGGCACTGATGTCGGCGAGAAGGCTTGGCTTGCAGTCTTGCTCAAATTCATAAACAAAAACATGTTCTTTTAGGGTTGAGGGACAGGACTCTGTACAGGCCAGTCAAGTTCCTCCACCCCAAACTTGCTCATCCATGTGTTTATAGACTTTGTTTTGTGCACTGGTGCAAAGTCATGTTAGAACAGGAAGGGGCCATGAACAGTTGGGAACATGAAATTGTCCAAAATGGCTTGGTATGCTAACGCCTTTAAGGTATCCTTCATTTAGAACTGGGGGCCCAAGCAAACCCTGAAAAACAAACCCCAAAACCATAATCCCCCCTCCATCAAACGTTACAGCTGATACAATCCCAGTCCCATTCTGCTGGCAGCCAACCCAGACACGTCCATCAGATTGCCAGACAGAGAATCATGATTCGTCACTCCAGAAAACACGTTTCCACTGCTCTAGAGTCCAGTGGCAGGTGTTTTACACCTGTTCTTCCCAGTTGCTTCCACTTTGTTACAATATCATTTATTTAGTAGAAAGGAAATTTCATGGATGGACCATTGCACAGGTGGCTCCCTTTGACGGTACCACGCTTAAAATTCATTGAGCTCCTCAGAGCGACCCATTCTTTCACAAATGTTTGTAGAAGCCGTCTGCATGTCTAGGTACTTGTTTTTTATACACCTGTGACCATGGAGGTGATTGGAACACCTGAATCCAATGATTTGGAGGGGTGTCCCAATACTTTTGGCAATATAGTGTGTTTTCCAGCTATTTTTATTATCATTCCAGGGAAATGAGGATCTTATATATTATTTTTTTTTAAAATGAAGGTTTTTAAAAACTGATTATCCAAACACCTCTCTTTGCTAGCCAGGATATACATAATAAAAAATAAAAAATATGGTATTTATGTTATTTCAACACTCGGACATGTATTTTTTAATTTACATTTATATTTAGTGTTTAGTTTTTTTTTCATTCTAAGAAATTTGCAAGGAAGAAACAAGTTATCAAAGGATTTTACTTTCAAGTGACACCTTGGAAACGCTCATAATTTGGCTTACTTTCTAAATGTATGTATTGTGTATGCATCTGAACCAGAGGAAATAATTCAGCCCTGTGTCTGAGGGTTAAATGTAGCAATCCCTAAGCAGAGGTTGCTTTAGGTGCAAACATTTATTTTCAACCATCCCAAATAGTTAAAGAAACAGGGGAATGGAGTAATAAAGGTGAGTTATTGTAGGTTAATTAGGAGGAGGGGGGTGGTTATTAAAATAAGGGGTGTTTTGGGAGATAAAAAAAAACCCCAGAGAGTCAGCAGCTTAGTAGGTTTGCACTGGTAATTGATGTGCACTCAAAGCATTGCAACTGCCTTTTCTGAAATTTTTGGTGTAGCACTTCTGGATAGCTAGGGGAAGCTAGTTGCTAATTTTTAGATAGAGAAGCTGAGCAACAGCCTGGGGAAATAGTCAGAGGGTCAAATTTTGTCAGGGATAAGAGGCTCTGCAAGTCAGTTCACTAATACTCCCCTTGCTCTAGAATCTTGGAAAGGATTCTAGGGAAACAGTGGGTGGGGGTGAGGAGTGGCTGGCCTGCACACTTAGAGGATTCTGGCCAATCCCCCAAGCAGGAGGTTTGGCATGGGCTTTGGCGGCCTTTAAGTGTGAGGTTAGGCAAGGAGAAAAAAGGGAGTGGTGGTTTATGGGGGGTGGGGGGCCAAGATGCAGGAGCCTGGGAGGGGGCCCAGTAGGAAGGGGCCTTTCCTACAGGCTTGGGACTTGGAAAAAAGGGATCACTCAGCCTCATAGTCCCCCAAAAGAAGGACTACCTGTGGAGCCAGGAAAGGAGCCAGAACAGCAGAAGGCCTGGAAGGCAGCCACCTACGTATAAGCCAGCTCAAGCAAAGATTGGAAAGGGTAAACCTACACCCCCTGGGCCAATTAAAGGAAAAAGAACATTCTGGCAGGAAATTCTGACTAGCTCCTTAACCAAGACTGTTTAACTGACAGTGGCAGGCACTGGATCCCCTTTGCCCCGAGATTCCTACAAACAACTGGTTAAAAAAGAGGATTTATCTGGGGTCTGGGGTGGTACACCAGGAGAGGCTGTAGAGCTCTCCAAGAAGGAAAAGGTTTTATCTTTGGACATGTACATAGTTGCCAAGAAGTTGTCCTCGGTTTATTGTTCCTTGGGCATCCATACACAGCATCCCATACACCCCTACCCCATCCAAGTTTTAACTCCCCTAATAAAACAAAAAAAAAAAACAAGCTCAAGGACTGTTCACTGTCTCGGGAAATGCAAGCCTGTGGAAATGATGTCATGCTACTTGTAATAGGTAATATTGGATTTGCAAGGCATTTGACTCACACAAAGTGGATCCTTTTGGCTATTGAGGAATAAAGAACGTTTTTGAATAAATGTTTTTGACCCAGAGTTCAGCTTTAAGTTTATAGAGAGAGAGTCTAGGACAACATTTTTATTTTGTTTCCTACTTCCATAAGGCCACGAACAAACCGCTACATAAAAAAAAAATGCAAAAACAAATGAGTGGCGCTATTTATGAAGTGACGTTTATTATAAAAAGACTATGATGACCCCCAAATAGAGGATATACTTAAAAATAAAACAACTTTTTTGTGCTGTTTTTCTGATCTTTCTTCCTCTTGCCTTTAGTGTTGTTGTGAGTGTTGGCATTTCTGGTCCTGGTTCCCATTGTACAGAATCAAAAAGTGCAGGGATTTTTATGCTTTGCTGTTTATGTTCAGCATTTATCATCATCTATATTCCCTTTGTCCTTTTTAAAACTGAAAATCCCATACTTTGATAAAGTTCACTTACTATTACAGTTGCTGCTTGAGATTTCCCCAACTGATATCTTTGATGATTCCCAAAAAATAATAAATAATCTTGCTGTTTTGATAATTGTGTTGCCACCTCATCCCTTAAAAACCGAACACATATTAATTTACACAGGTTCTGTGGCTGATTTTAAGGTGGCAATTAAAACTCACTTAGTTTCCTTATACTGCATTTAATCAGCCCCGAACCTGTGTAATTACTGTATTTTTTCACCCATAAGACGCACCCAGGTTTTTTGAGGCAGAAAACAAGATAAAAAATGTTCTGAACCAATGGATGCAACATAGTACAGAAGATGACCAGAGACTGCAGACACAGTACAGGAGATGACCAGAGACTGCAGGACACAGTACAAGAGATGACCAGAGACTACGACACAGTTACAGGAGATGACCAGAGACTGCGGACACCGTACAGGAGATGACCAGAGACTGCGGACACAGTACAGGAGATGACCAGAGACTGCAGGACAGTATAGGGGATGACCAAGAGGACTGCGGACAGTACAGGGGATGACCAGAGACGCGGACAGTACAGGGGGATGACCAAGAAAACTGCAGCAGTACAGGGGATGGGCCAGAGACTGCAGACAGTTTCAGGGGATTTACCAGAGACTGTGGACACAGTACAGGAGATGACCAGAGACTGCAGACGTTTCAGGGGATGACCAGAGACTGCGGACAGTGGCGGAGATGACCAAGAGACTGCGGGGAGTGCAGGGGATGACCAGGGGACTGCGGACGTATTACGGGGATGACCCAAAAGGGCTGCAGACAGTACAGGGGATGACCAGAGATGCGGGGCAGTACAGGGGATGACCAGAGACTGTGGACAGTACAGGGGTGACCAGAGACTGTGGACAAATGCAGGGGATGACCAAGAGACTGCGGACAGTACAGGAGATGACCAGAGACTGCGGACAGTACAGGGGAAGACCAAGAGACTGCGGACAGTATAGGGGATGACCAAGAGACTGCAGACAGTTACAGGGGTGACAGAGACTTGCGGACAGTACAGGGGATGACCAAGAGACGTGGACACAGTACAGGAGATTTTTTTTTTTTTTAATTTTAAATTTTTTTTTTATTTTCCATAATATAATACATATTTCATCATTATTCTCATACAAATTTGCATATCTTAATAACATTTCTAACTATCTTTATTCCCATTTACCACCCCCCCTCTATTTTAATTTCCCCCTGCCCTAATTAAAAAAACCTCCTCCCCCCATGTAAACCCACCCACTCTGGTTCCCATTACCTTCCTCTTCCATACGAGAATATAGGGTATGTAAAAAACCTTCCATCTTTCTCACATAATTTTCTTCATATATTTCACCATAAATTCTTCCCCATTTTTCCCACCTCTTAGAGAACAACCCCATCCTGTCTTCCGCATATAACACAGTCTCTCCATCTTACAAATTTGATTAATTCTTTCCACCCAGTCCTCTATCTTCGGCACCTTGGTCTATGCCAAAACTTAGGTATCAAACCCTTCGCCGCATTTTTGGTAGCACCATATACCCGAATCCTTGTATTTATTTACTAATAACTCTGGTACTATGTTGTAGACATACTGCTGGGTCCAGTCCTATCTTTATCCTGGAGATATTCTCAATTAGTTGGACAATTATCTCCCAGAAAACCTTGGATCTTTGGGCACTCCCACCATATATTTATATAATGTGCCTATTTTTTCCAACATCCCCTCCAGCACCTAGTGAATTTTCCCCCCATATCTTATATCAACGTTCAGTGTAATGTGCCATCTCGTTAAACACTTATAGTTTACCTCCACCTCTCTCATACTTTATATTCTCGTGTATTAATCTATTATTTTCCTTGTTTATCCTCATCTATCTCTATTCCCAAATCCTTTCCATTTAACTATATACATTGGCTTTGTTTTAAGTGTCTAACTCAGTGAGGGTCTTATAAATTTTTGCAGTAGAAGAAAGAGAAGTGCGCCAGACTAAGTGCAGTATGAATATAAAAGTTTATTGCACACACGGTTTTTAAAACTCACAAGACGTGGGTAGATATCAGGATCCCAAAATATAAGGAGGGGATGTTTTTGTGCGAACCTCAAAAATGATGGCTGCAATGCCAAGGTGTTGCCGGCTGGCGCTGTAGGCGGGTCCCAAAGGAAGGCG